GCACCCCCTGGTATCTGGTTGTACTGGTGCCCCCTCCCCTGTGGAGGGGAGGGGGGCTGGCATGCAGGGAGCCAAACACCGCTCCCAGGTCCTGGTGCTTATGTTTGCTGGGAGAAGCCTCTGGCCGCCCCCACCCCAGGTTTTGGCTGCTGAGCATGCTGGGAAATGTCCAGAATCCTCAGCAGCCCTGCTTGCGGATGGCAGGGGGAGCTTGCTCCCAGCACACATAAGCACCCTGAGCCCTGGATGCTGCTGGGTCTGGGCCAGGGGGCGTGGTCCCCCCCAACCCAAGCTGCCACAGGGGCTGGTGCCAGCAGGTCCAGGAGGCGTTGGGAGTCTCCAGGTTGGAGGGCACAGACCTCGTCGGTGGTGGTTGGCTCCAGCGCGTGGGGGCAAGCGAGCAGGTGGGGACCCCAGGTCTGGACGGAGGTGCCCGCGGGCGGTGGGGATGGGGGCGCAGGGGGTCTCTCCCTGGGAGATTCCATCAGAGGAACCAAGACTGGAAGAGAGAAAAGGGACAAGAGAGAGGGCAGGTTAATGCGGGCAACAGGCCTAGCTACTCACACCCACCCCTGTCTGCCCCCCCGCCAATCCCCATCTTCTCATCCCCACCCAGCCAGCTCCACACACCTCTCTCCCTACCTACTTACTTAGCCATTCATCCTTCCATCCATCCATCTGTCACAAAGTCTTTCTTTCTTTCTTTAATCTGTCTGCCTGTCCTTCCTTCCTTCCTTCCTTCCTTCCTATCCATTCTCACTTCTATGTCTGGCTGTCCATCCATCTGTCCATTTCCACTTATATCTATCCATCTGTTCACTATCCCCAACTTTATGTGGCCTCCCCTTCCTTGCCAGCATCTCCCCTGCTGTGCCCTGCCCCGCCCCTCCTTCCTTCCCCTCCCCTCCCTCTGGATGCCGGGGTTCCTGCTTGTGAATTTGGGGAAGGGAGGAATGCAGAGAAGGGGAGGAATGCAGGGAGCCGAGGAGCCACCAGGGGGTGGATGGGGCGCAAGATGCAGGCCTAACCACCAGGGGGCGCCCACAGTCTATGAATGGGGATCTCCCAGCTGGGGCAGGCTGGGTTTGCATACCCCCTCTACCTCAGGGTCTAGGGGGTGCTCTCTGGGGGAGCTCGACACAAGGGCAGAGACAGGTAGAGAACCAAAGAGTCCAGGTGTACTCCACTTCTCCCTCTGCTCTAATCCCCTGGGACTCCTGCTCAGATTTCAGGAGCTCCCACCAGCCCCTACTTTAGCCATGAGGTGCCACTTGTCTTTCACAGGTGGCAGGGCTGCAGGAAGAACCCAGGTGCCCGGGCCCCCTTGCTCTGCCAATTAGGCCATACGCTGCTCCCTGCTCCCCTGCTCTGAACTGGGAGGAGATCCCAGGGGTCCTGGCTTGGACCCTAGAGTGTACTCTCTGTTTCAGAAGTAGGAGGAGAACCCAGGCATCCGGCTCCCAGCATCCTCTGCTTTCTGGCCGGTGCCCAAGGACCAGGCCTTGTCCCCCTCCCAGAGTGGGGAGAAAACCCAGGTGTCCAGACTGTAACCACTGGATCCTGCTGCCTTCCCCTAAGGCTTTGTCGGCCCTTTGCTCCTCAGTTCCCTCCCATTGGCTGTCTGCCTCCCCGCACCATTGTCCCTCAGCCAATCCTGATCCCTCCCACATGCCGCGGTGCCAGTCTTGATGCCAAGCGGTGCCCATGCCAGCCAATGAGATGGCAGCTAATCACTCACTGTCATGATACCCTTGGCCAATTGGGTGCCACCTTGCCCTGGAGCCAGCTTCCCTGATTGGATGGAGCAGCAGTGATGCCCAGCCCTCCCCAACCAATGGAGGGGCACTATGCCAGGTGGCCTGGCCAAGCCAAACCCAGCCTGGGCACCATCCCTGCTCCGCCATTGGCTGGCACGGGTGCCGCGTGGATGGCTACAGCCAATCCAACAGTGGTGATGCTGAGAGGGGCCAATCGGGAGTGCTCACGCCACTTCTGGGCAGCCAATCTGGTGGCAGAGACCCGTTTCCCCACCCCCAGGTGCCACGGGACCAGGCCACAGAATGGGTGGGGCTTGTGGCTGAGGGCGGAGCCACATGGGGCAGGTACACCCACTCTGGGGTGCCACAAAGGGGTCCAGGGCACTGCCACAGAGGTTATCCTCCTGGGTGCCACTAGTTACCATGAAAACAACCTCTCGGCCCCCAAAAGTACCCCCATGATGGAGAGAACGGGAACAAAGCTGGGAGGGGGGGCAAGACCAGGGGAGGGGCCGTGGAAGCCCCCCGGCACCTTCCTCTCCCCCCCCACACAAACCCTGGCAGGGCTCTTGGGCCCTGCTCCAGCCGCAGCTTCGGCCCATTGTTTCCCTGCTCAACACCCCCAAGTCCAAGTTCATCTGGGTGTGACATCATGTCTGGTTGCTATGGGAAACCAGACGGGTCAGACGTGACTGGTTATGGGATGGGGGGGTGAGCCCCTGGCCACCCCCCAATTCTCCTCCCCCAACCCCCAGCTCTGGGGACCTGGGAGCTTCAGAGGGTGGCAAAGTTTGAGAAGAGGAAATGGGCCTGGGCTAGGGTCGGGGGGCTCTGCCTGTATCCCCCCACTGTGCCTTAGTTTACAAGGGAACATTAAAACTGCTCTCTGCCCAGCCAGGATGAGGCAGCATTACCCCAAGAGGGGGGTAACAACTTGGAGCAGGGCATCCTTTTTGTCCCCTGGAAGATGGGGTGGGGCATTTGCGGGGGCGGGGGGAGTTAATAGCTCTGTATTTCAGGGCATGAAATGGAGGGGGTGGGGGCTGCAGGTTGGGAGTGAGGAGCATCAGCAGGGCTGTAGGCTGTTGCACTGAGACTCTCACCTTTTTCACAAGACCTCCCTACTGGTCCCTCAGTCCCTCAGCCAAGGCATGAGTGTCTGAGGTGCCTGGACATGTGGCCCCCCCCCCCGGTTATTTATTGGCTAATTATCCAATTAACTTATTACATGGTGGAGTAGGGAGGTTGCTGGGGGCAGGAGCCTGGGGGAAGGGGGCATCGGAACACCACAGTGCCGCAAGAGCGTGACAGAGGGAGAGAGAACCCAGGCATCCAGTCCCCCAGGTTCCCCCCTGTTTCAATACCCCCCCATTCCAGTCCCCTGCTGGAGCTGGGAGAGAACCCAGCATCCGGGCTCCTAGGATGGCCCAGGGTCTGAGCCCAGGGGTGCCTCCTACCTGAGACTGCTGGGGGATGTTCAGAAAGTTGCCGTCCCGGGGTCCGATGCCGACAAACCGGTTGGCAGTGGAGGAGCCTGGCGCTGCGAATGCTGTGGGAGACACAGGCATTAAGGCCAGGGCAGGGCAAAGAGCAGCCCCCACTCCTGGGGCTCAGATCCTCACTCCCAGTCCAAGCCCTATGTGGGTCAGGAGTTAGGGGCACTGGCAGGGTTTGGGCAGGGGGGCAGGGGGCTGTGTTTCAGAAGGGAGGGGCACCAGCAGGGCTGGGGGGAGCAGGGGGTTGTGGGTCGGGAGTGAGGGGCCCTGGGGCCATTCCTTCCAGGTGCCCCATCCTGGCCAGTGTGTGTGTGTGTGTGTGTGTGTGGGGGGGGGGGGGGGGCTGCTCCCCCCCTGCAGCCGCGGCTCCCTGTGCCAGAAATAACTGAGCTCAGGGCTCTGGTATTCGGCTAGGGCTGCGCAGAGGCTGGGGCCGAGAGGGCTGGGCTCTTCACCCCCATAATAACCCCCTGGCCAATAGCACACCCTGGCC